TGAAATGGAAAGCATCTGCAAGCCAGAGGAAAACCACTGAGAACTTTCCTTCAACCCGGTGCTCTAGAGACACCAGCCAGCCAGGCCACTGCTGGGTCCTGGCTTTTCAGGATCTGCCCGGTGGGGCTGGAAGGGAAGAGAAACCCCAGAAAATCAAAGGGGTCATCGGGGCAGGGCGCCGGCGTGCTCGCAGCCCCATCCCTTCTTGGAACCAGACCCAGGCCGGTTTGGTCAAACACTGCACTTGCATCTTCTCTGGATGGTAAACAGCTGCCATGAGAGAGCCCAGGTGGTGGTGCTGGCTCTTCCTCCAAACCCCACGTCCTGGCTGAACTGAGGCAAGCTTCAAGCCAAAATCTGCCATGCTTCCACTTTTAGACAGAATTTCTTTAGCCACACAGGCATAAAACCTTGATGAAATAATTTTTTTAAGATTTTATTTATTTATTTATTCATGAGAGATGCAGAAAGAGAGAGACATATGCAGAGGGAGAAGCAGACTCCCTGCAGGGAGCCCAATGTGGGACTCGATTGCAGGATCCTGGGATCACGGCCTGAGCCAAAGGCAGATGCTCGACCACTAAGCCACTCCGGGGGCCCTTGATGAAAAGATCTGGATGAAGTTCCAGCTCCCCATCCTTTTGTGGTTTCTGAGGCAGGATGCTGTGCCCCCAGCAGGCTTGGTGCCATCAGAAGGCCCCTATACCTTGGGGTGCCTTGGAGGCTTTATATATATATATAAATATGAATATATATATATAATATATATATAATATATATAATATATATATAGGGCAGCCTCGGTGGCACAGCGGTTTAGCACCTCCTACAGCCTGGGGTGTGATCCTGGAGACCTGGGATCGGGTCCGCATAGGGCTTCCTGCATGGAGCCTGCTTCTCCCTCTGCCTGTGTCTCTACCTCTCTCTGAATAAATAAATAAATCTCAAAAAAAAAAAAAGAATATATATATAAAGAAATCCTCTATACCAGTGGCCAGAAACTGACTCAGGGTGCAGCCTCAGAGACTGTCCCAGTGGTATAGGTCTTAGGGCCTGTCTGGATTCGCCTAATGATTCCAGGTGTGTGAGGGGTGTGGGGGTGGAGCTGTCTCTGAACCATATTAGCCCAATCACACTCCTCGACTGTCTTTGATGAAAGTTGTTTCTAAGGTGCATTATGCAAATTAACAAGTCACTAATTTCAGCAATAAAAAAACAAATTCTGATATTCAATATGCTAATTAACAAATCACTGGTTGTTGATTGAGGTATCGATGGCAGAAGGACTTGCAGCTGCCCTTGGAGTTGGCCAGCCCTGCTGTAATGCTAGTAGGTCCCCCTCGGGGTTAGCATTCGAAAGGCATGGACCACCTAGCAGATGCAGCACATCGCCCTGATGGTTATTATAAAGTGCTTCAACACAAATGAGAAAAGGCATACCATGCTTCCATTACAACAGGGAAACTGAGGCACAGTGAATTCAATTAACTTTAAATCTCACAAAGAAACGGAACTGAATAGATCCCAGCTGCTCTGAATCAGAGATCTGTTGCCCTGCCCCCAGTCCCACCCCTAGTCCGTCCTATCCCTATTCCCAACCCCATCCCGTGTTCCCTCAAACAGGGAACAGGGTGGGGGGCAGTGTGTGCGTGACCCACATACTCTTGGTCATCTCATGTGACAGCCTCCACGGGTCTCCTCTGGCTCCCACTCTTCTCGTTGCAAATTCGGGGAGTGGGGTAACTTCCCAGATGCCGATTTGTCTCTAACTCTTTGAGAGACTGAGTCCTGTGGACTGAATTCAATGCTTTGTTCTCCATGAGGCTCCTGCCTAATTTAAACAATTATCATCCGATGCTTGCTTAATATAACCTTATATTTAAACAATTGTCATGATATTTATTTAATCTAACCTTGCAATCCAAATCAACTAGACGTAGGAAGCTTTCTGATGGGCAAAGATACTTTTTTATTTTTTTGTGTCTAAGGCTCAGTGTAGTGCCTGGCACTTACCTGACAGTCATATTAGGAGTCGCTGCGTAAGAGGAATATGGCTAACAGTATCTCATTCAAGGTACAGAGTTAGAACTTGTCCCAGTGGCAGTTCATAGGGTGGAAGACTATTTCTCCTAAAATAGGTCCACGTTTTACAACCCTCACTCCCTCACTGTGTGCCAGGCCCTCTTCTAAGCACTGTATATACATTCATTTCATCTTCATACAAATTCTGCACAACAGATACTACTATCCCCATTTTACAGATAAAGAAACTGAAGTGCAGAGACATTAAAATGCCTTTCCTCAGATCACACAGCCAGCGAACGAGGGAATCAGGATTTGAATCCAGACACTCTGGCTCCGAATCGTGTGTCCTTTCCCTCACAAGATAGCAGTAGGAAGAAAATGGAATTTTCACCCCCTCCACACATCCTACACAAAAATAACAGGCAGTTTCAGATGAGCCTGTGCCAATCAAGCGGCTAAGAGGCAATAAGTCATCAAGCCGGGACTCATCAGTGAATCTGGGCCATGGCTCAGGCAAGGATACCATGGGCATCAGTGGGAGAAGAGAGAAATTCTATTCTCACAAGCCATTTCCTGGAGTTGTATTTCTGAGTGTGTGCGTGTAGGGGTGGGGAGGGATGAGGAGAGATGAGAGAAGAGAAGGATAAGAAGCAGGGGAAGAGAAACCTTACAGAAGAGGGACCCTCTTTTTACCCTTCATCCCTGAGCACAGGGATGTAGGGATTTGTAACACAAATGCTCCCATAGGACCCCCATAGGGCAGAGTAGTGACGCACAGAGCCTGTGGTCACCTGATGATTGCCGTGCAGGGATGTAGACCCAGTGTGCCAGAAACCTCCAAGTTTTTCTTTTGTTTTCTATTTTTTTTAAGATTTTATTTATTTATTCATGAGAGAGAGAGAGAGAGAGAGAGAGAGAGAGAGAGAGAGAGAGAAAGTAAGCTCTATGCAGGGAGCCTGACATGGGAGTCAATCTCGGGTCTCCAGGATCATACCCTGGGCCAAAGGCGGTGCTAAACTGCTGAGCCGCCTGGGCTGCTCTGTTTTTCATAGATTTTATTTATTTATTCATGAGAGACACACAGAGAGAGACGGAGACAAGGCAGAGGGAGAAGCAGGCCCCATGCGGGGAGCCCAATGCGGGACTCGATCCCAGGACCCCGGGATCACACCCTGGGCCGGAGGCAGACACTCCACCGCTGAGCTACCCAGGTGTCCCAGAACTTCCAGTTTTTAAAGAGGACCACACCCTGCATTTATTTTTGTGTGAGATTCCCTGATTTCTAAAACAACACACCACTCCCTGATGGAGATGAAGTCTACCACCTTGGGGACTCCAATCTTAGACGTCAAGAGGTTCTGGGATTCAGAACTCTACAGGCTTGCTGAGGATCCAGAACTGAGGCAAATGTCTGCATCTGAGTTACTGCAAGGAATCAACAGACGTTTCTGGCCCTTCCCTAGGAGGCGCCTTGGATTTGCCAAACTCCCCCTCGTATTTTCCAAGGGTCACACATGCATGCGCCGCTTCACCAATTTTACTGCATTTGCATACTGCATGTCTCACAACTTATTTAATAGTTCTCCTCTTTATTGGCTCTCTGTGTATTGACTTACTTCTTTAAAGTGTAGGCTGCCATGGACTATAATAAAATCATAGGTTTGATGTGCTAGACACAGATTTTCCTAAATGTGTTAAAATAGACAACTAGTAGAATTAATACTGCTCATTCTGTCTACCACTTAAACTCATTCTCACGGGTGATACACTCCTCATCATTAGGAAGCCCTGCCATTCCAAAATGGGACTATTTCAGATGAGACTAAGATGGAATATTGGAGAAGCAGGAAGAGACAAGACTGCTGGGCTGGAAGACGAGCAAGAGAACCCTGGGAGGGAGAAATTCTCTCCTGCTTGACAAGAGGCATGGAGCCCAATAGTTTAACTGTTGGTACATGTGCTGTGGTTTTATTAAAGAATTAAAGAACCCCCCACCCCTACCACTGGTTCAGAAAAATCTCTGCTGGTCTCCCATATCTTATTTGCCTGTTATCTCCCTTCTCCTGAAAATCTGCACGGAAACCATCAGACTCTTAGTTTTACAGGAGCCTTTGGGCTCCTGCTGCCTTCGTGCTTGCTGAGCCTGGTGCTTTTGCTGTGGTTTGATTGCAAGCCTGGGCTTTGGGTTAGGGAGCAGCAGGTGGTGGAGGTGGGCTTCAGACGTGTGAGGAGGCAGCATTTTCATCTAGAATCTTCGAGGCCTGATTTCAGTGGAAGAAAATTCCTGGAAATGTCCCAGGAGGGCTGGAATGAATGACTGCAAACATCCAGGGAGGTGTGTGTAGGGGGTTGGAGGGGGACTACATTTTATAAGCTGGTGGTACAGAGTTTTCCACTTCAGAGTAATAGGTGCTGACAGGAAGGAGTCCTTGTTCCCAGCATCTTGCCTCAGGCACAAATGACAAATGGACAGTCATCAAGGTTCAGTCCTTGGCACCCTTAACTACTACTATCCACATGCTGCTGGATGGAGTTTCCCTGCTGACACCTGCAGGAAAGAGCAGTTTTGCGTGGTTTTCTCAGTGATGTTTTTAAGTCACTTTGTTTTAAAATTTTTTTTAATTTATTTATAAAAGCAATTCTTTAGGATAGAGACCATGTTTGTGTCCTGCCCATCATTGAATTGGTAGTGATGCCTAGCACGTAATAAGTGCATGATTAGTTCAATTAAATTAACTAATTTAAGTGATTTATGAACGAAATTAGTTAACCCAGTGAAGGGGAAGATGGAGCAGTATGAGAAAGGAAAACCACGAATAAGTCTACCCCCCAGAGACGCCTATTGATATATTGATGAATTTGTTTCTGGTCTTTTTTTTTTCCACAGAAGTTGAGATCATACTTTCAGATGAGTTTTATCTTCTGCTTTTAAGTTTGTGTCATCTTGTGAGAAATTTCCAAGATCGTTAGTTTTCCCAAATGTCACTTTTATTTTACTTTTAAGATTTTATTTATCTACTCATGAAAGACAGAGAGAGAGAGGCAGAGACACAGGCAGAGGGAGAAGCAGGCTCCATGCAGGAAGCCCGATGCAGGACTTGATCCTGGGTCTCCAGGATCACATCCTGGACTGCAGGCGGCGCTAAACCGCTGAGCCACCTGGGCTGCCTTCAAACGTCACATTTAATGACTGTGTGAGCCTCCAGTGTGGGGGTGCAACAGCTTACCCAAGCCCATGTTGGGTATTTGGAATGTCTCCCAGGTCTCAGTGGGCACTCGGAACAATAAATGGCCATTGTACTGACTGGGCTCCTTCTGGATGACAGGCTTGTGCTTGACATCAGCACACAGAGGGGTAGGAAAGTTCTAAATTAATGCCCCCAGTTAAGAGTTACTAGTGGATGAGCCTGGGAGGGTAGGAGTGGTCAGGAAGGGGACCGGCAATGCTGGGACCCCGAGGGAGGGGGAGGCTGTCGGGAAGGAGAAATTGGATGATCAGTGGACAAGATGTCAAAGGGGGCGGAGAAGTCCTGGCTCTTATTTGCAAACACCCTCTGGCCCCTGGGTTGCCCTCTGCTTCCTCTAACGGGCCCGATCCTGCTGCAGGGACTTTGCACATGCTGTCCTTGCTGCCTGAACACATCCACTGACTAGAGGTCCCTTTCGGTGCTTAGCTCAGGCTCGCATCCTTCCCCTGCCTTCCCTGACTCAGCTGCTTCCCTCTATTACATGCTCGTGATAGGATGCTCTTCTTTGTACACAATTTCTTTTCATTTCTATAATCCTTGATTACTGCATGCCTCCTCACTGGAAGCACCGCAGATAACAAAAATACATTGCATGAATGAGCGAGTAAAGGGCCAGGGCCGAAAGACGTGCCATTTCTTCGTAAAGGTAAGACAGACGCAAGCACAGAATCAAGCAGGCAGGCAGGGGTTGTCCTCAGCCCTCACCTGTGCCCACGAACAGCGCTTCCTCAGCAGGCACCTGGATGCAGACCGTGCAAGGCTGGCAGGCCTGTGTCAGGCAGGGCCAGGAACCAAACCCGTGAACTTGGCCTTCAATCCCCCCACATGGAGCAAAAATGGAAAGGAAGGAAGGAAGGTGGTGGGCACCTCTTCTTGTCTCCCTGCCACCTGTTTCTTTACTGTCGAGATTAGGAGGGGAGATGGGGAACTTTGGAAGGCTCTCCAAGCGTGGCAGGCAGCCGGGGGAGGGGGTAGCCAGCAAAGGAGGGGGATCTGTTAGTGCTGTGGATAAAATGACTTGAGGATTCAGGGACCTGTCTGGTGGCGATACCGTCAACCAGGGAAGAATCCATTTCTAACAGCTCCTTCTTATACATTATTCATGAAAACAGGAAGACAGAGCCGATAACATCAGAATGATGCTGCTGTCCAGCAAATCTAATGACTGTAGCTTAAGGGCATTTTAACTAGCATGGAAAAAAATTATAGTTGCCAATTGGAGGTCTTGGAGGCCCAGAAAGCTAACTGGAGCGGGAGAGCAGGTGTGAGTTTCCCATTTGGAAAAAGGCGTGGCCTTCCACCGCCAGCATCTGTTTCTTTGTGGTTGTCCGGGGCCTCCCCAGCCTCTCATTGCTTAGCTTCTAATGGAGAAATTAATGCTGCTTTAGCTAAACAGCCTTAGGTTTTCAAATCAGTCCCGATTTTCATGTCCATCAGTCAAAAGGCAGGGACAAGCAATAGGACTTTGTGGAGGGCTTCTCGGGATTTCAACATAAATTATTAGCCTCTAATCTGTTCCAGCCTGAAGCATGAGCGCTTTTTAAACAGTGAGGGCATTCTGCTGTTGCTGAGATCTGGTGTCGGTGCCCAGTTTCTGATTCATGACAACTGCAAGATTCATTCCGTCCTAAAGCCCGTCCAGCTTGCTGTCAAATGAGCCAGGAGGTTGGTTTGTTGAAAGGGGAGAGGGAAAAGCAGGAGGGCAGGCCAGGCAGGCCAGGCCCGTGATCCCAGAGGCAGAGGCTCCGAGAAGCAGAAGGGAGCTCACTGTGATTCTTAATTTGCCGCTTATTTTCTGTACTTCGCCTAGAATGTTCTGGCTTCCTGAACATTGGATGATGCATTCAATTACACTTATTCATTCATTTCCCACAAACAATTATCGAGGGCTTACTCCTTGTCGGAGGTGCTTGCAAACTATTCGCAAAACTAAAAAATAAATGTTGATGCCTGCCTTCATGCAGTTTAAGTTCTGCAGGCAGATGGAATGAGATTGAAGCCTCGCATAAAACAGTGTTTCTTGGGACACCAGGGTGGCTCAGATAGTTAAGCCTCTGCCTTCAGCTGAGGTCATGATCTCAGGGTCCTGGGATCGAGCCCCACACTGGGCTCCCAATCAGTGGAGAGTCTGCTTCTCCTCCCTCGTCCTCTCCCCCTGCTCATGCTCTCTCGCTCTCTCTGTATCCTTCTGTCTCAAATGAATAAATAAAATCTTTAACAACAACAACAGTGTTTCTCCAGGTGTGCTGGGAGAGGAAATGATTGTGGCAGGTTTTATTTGAATGATTACATATTTTATTTCCACGTGTATCACATAAACATAACCTGCCCTTCCAACCTGTAATTTCACAGACACTTGGTCAGGGGACTGGCAAAGCTGATTTAAAGAAATAATTATTAATAAACCAGTGGTATTGTGATATGCGAAATCACAAAGTTGGTTCATAATAGTGGTAGTAGCCACCGATGGTTAAGAGCACTTAGGATGAGCCAGGCACTTTTGGTAAATGTTTTACAAATATTGTTCTTGCATAATCTCCACTCCTGATTCCTGGAGAAAAACAGCAGTGGTTTGATCACATGTCCAGCTGTATGCTAGATTATAAGCTGCATGAAGGCAGGCACCAAAGCCTTGTTCATTATTTAGTTTGCAAAGAGTTTGCAAGTACCCTTGACAAGTCATATAACGTCAATAATTACTTGTGGGAGAAAGGAATAAGTGAATGTAATTGAACACAACAACCGATATTCAAGAAGCCAGAATATTCCACATGAAGGCTAGAAAATCACAGGCCTCTGACTAGCTGCTTGCTTTCTTGCTCCTGAAAGGATGTGAGGCAGCCTGGTGGCCCCCCTGGAATTGCCTGGGTGTCACCCCACAGCCAGCTCCCAGGGTGCGGTGGGTGGATGCAGGAGCCCAATTTCTGCTTAAGTACCATCTTCTTAACCATCCAGCTGTGTTGATAACAAGCCAGTTGCTGCATTTCAATCTCCATCTGCTTCCTGGTCTGGTTTGGTTAAGATTCTGGAGAGGAGGAGGCATATGATTAATTCACAGCCATAACCATTCACCTTCACCACAACCTCATGCGTCATTATCATCTCCATTTGCATAGAGGGAACAGGCTTCAAGAGCTCAGAGAACTTGCTGGAGGTCACAGCTAGTGAATGGCAAAGCTGGGATTTAAACAGATGTCCTATCTTACATCTTCCCAAAAAAAAAAAAAAATCCATGTTTCAGGTAGCTGAGCTGGTCTTCTTCGAAAATGTCCAACGTGCTCACACAATAGCACTGTTAGCAATCACAAAGTTCAAAGAAATATTCTCTGCATAGTTTTTGATGCGTAACTAAACTCTTACAAAATGAAATAATCATGTGGATGATTAAATTATAATTATGACAGAGGAGTGGCTGCCCGTTTGGAAAGACTTAAACATTTTATAAAAACTCAGTGTTCACACTGGCCAATTTTCTCCCCCTTGATTCTTCTCTGAATTCCAATGAATTTTTCATCAGCTTATTAATTAGCACAAATCATGGATTGTGCTATGTAATTAAGGTCTTATGTGCTCCTCCAGATCTTATATTTGAGTTAAATGTTAATTTTTCACAGAGAAAAATTAGGAATTTGACAACTGCCTTCCTTCCTGGCAATGGAATATACATGCCGCCTGTCAAAAAAGATTGAGTGCCTGAGTTTCCAAGATACAGCGTGATAGATTATTCAGCATGAAATTGCAAACTCATTTGCCCAATATCACAATCAATTGCTGACAGCAGTTTCCCCCCACCCCCAGAAACCCATTTGTGAAGTGCATTTGGTAGTCTAGTCACTGAATGTTAACTCATATGCCGTGACTTGCCATTAGTCTTTGTAACTTTTCTTTAGTCCCTGTCTTGGTTTGCTTTGTTATAACTTCTATCCATCTCAGAGTCGCCAAAAGAAACAGAGTTATATTGTGCAGGTACATTTTTCTTTAGTATTATTACTATTAATAATAATGATAGCTCTTACCACATGCTCTCGGGAAGACAATTCTCATGGATCTCTTATACTTCCGTACAACCCATAAGCACAGGTCCTCTCTTCATTCCAGGTGATCTTTTCAGAGATGTTCGTCGGCAAAGAGCATTGGAAGGTAGAGATAGTGTCTCCCTCTGAAGCAAAGAGGAATTCTTATTGCCCATTATAAAATATTTGCCTTCCTAAGGTCCAGGTTCCACTCCTGTAATACAACCCACTGGACGTGCAGGTACCACCTCTGCATGGCTCCAAGAGAATCGGGCTCAGAGTACTGGCACAATGGCTGATACTCTGGCTATTGCTACTGATGCACCTAATGAAGTCCTTCATCCTTTGCCTCTGGCCAGAATCTCCTGCCAACATTTATGAAAAGGTGGTAGGATAACTTAGGGTAAATTCTCAAACTTTTCACGGGTCTTGGCACATACCAGGAACCATTAAAAAATATGTGTGCATACATATATGTATACACACACACAAATCTTTCTATATTATATATAGGTTAATATATATGTATGTTATATATCTGCTCACATAACCACCTTATGAGGTATTACTTTCATCCTTATTTTACTGAGAAGGAAACCGAGGCACAGAGGTTAACCAAATAGGTAGTGGATCGAGGGTTTAGACCAGGCAATGTGGTTTGGGTATCTGCTCTCTGCTTTTTTGCTATCCTCTCTTGGGTGGAAAAGCCGAGAGCTGGCTGCAGCTACTGAATTTCACTTTGAAAATGAAGTGGTCCTCCTAAAGTCCCAGGAAGTTCCTATGCATTCACTTCACAAATATTTATAGAGCACCAGTGTGTGCTGTTGCCAGTAATTCAGGAGAAAAGAAATGCTTCTGATGCTGAGCACTGGGGGTAGGGAGTCGTCCAGGCTGAGGGGTGAGGAGGTTTGGCTCCTCATCCCCTCCTGAAGTTTCCACTGGAAATGCATTTAGGATGTCCTGCCTGAAGACCTTCCTCCTGCCCTAGTCCGCTCTTCACAGGGCAACTGCTCCTTACCTTCTGCTTTCCGATACCACTATTAGTTGTAAATAACCAGAACACAGCCATTCAGTAAGTATGCCTCATGTGCTCACCTTGGACCTGGTGCCATTATAGGCACTTGAGATAATGCACTAAACTACACCCTTGCCCTCCAGAAGCTGACATGGAGCTGCGGAGAGAACCAATAAGCAAACAGGCAAATACATAACACCAGCTGTGAATAAGTTTGTTGAGGAAAAGCAAAGCAGAGTGGGGATTTGAGGGACAGCCGGAGGGCCATTTTACCTGGTGGCGGTGGGGCTCTCTGAAGAGGTGGCATTTAATCCAAGACCTTGGTGAAGGATCATTCATTCCTGCATGACAGGTATTTGCTGAGAGCAAACTATATGCCAGGCACTGATGTAGGCTCTGGGGGTACTGCCTCGAACAAAAGATAGGCGTTCTACTGAGGAGAGATGGGCAACAGACAGAAAAACCCTGGCGCCTGGCCACAGTGGGAAGCACCGAGGGACCACATAAAGCAGGAAAGCAGGTCACGAGGTCAGGGGCGTGGACAAGGGCGTTGTGAGCTGAAATCGGGCAGATCCAGGCAGGTCTTACTGAGATGACAGCTGAGCAAAGTTCTGAAGGAGGGACAGAGCAAGCCACGGGGTGATTGGAACAAGAGGGAGAAGGGACACGCGGAGCTGAGGCGTGGAGGTGGGGCGGCCTGCCACACTTGCCCAGGCCCAAATGGGGCAGAGAGGACTGAAGGAGACACAGGCTCCTAGTTTAGGACCTCAGCTCCCATGCTGTGTGAGGTAGGAGGCAATCAGAAGGTTCTGGGCAGAGAGGGGCCATCACCGGACTTATAAAATAAATAATAAAATAATAATAATAATAATAATGGTAATCCTCGGAGAGCTGCTGCTTATAGTGCTTCCCATGTCAATCCTATGGGGCCATCCCAGAAGATCCTTGCTGCACATTCCCAGGGAACCATGTCTAGCACAAGACTCTGTTCTTTAATCCCAGCTGGGCCCTCAACAGAGCTCAGCGACCACTGGGTCTGTGGGCCGCCATCTTTTCCAGGCCTTGTTCTCTGCAGGATGAAGCCTGTCGTCACCCCACTCCCTTTCTTCCTCATGGGCCTAGCCCCCCACCTATAAATGTATCTGCACTCTCAACCTTGGGCATCTAGGCACCCCTCCTTTGAGAACCTCAGTCTGGGTTTGGCGGGTCTGGAGCTGCCCAGCTAGAGCCACGTTGTCGGCCCTGTGTCTGGGTTCACAGCACCCGGCATAAGGGGAAGGCTGTGTACTTCTCAAGTCCCCACCCTATTTCTCTCCTTTTCCTCACAGCCATGATTCTGAAGGACAGTCCCTACTCCCTGAGGAGGCCTGGCCTCCTCCTTCCTCACGCCACCAAAATGGGCCTCGCTGCTCCTGCTGATAAGTTGCCAGTGGCCAGGTCTTGGGGTGCCTTCCCACTCTCTCCCTCCGAAGTGCTCCAAGGCCAGGGACACTGTCACGGCCACCCACCCCCCACCCCCAGACCACGCAGCACGCTCCAGCCTTCCTGACTGGTTCATCTGAGGTTCTGTTCCCTGAGGTCCTTCTCAATCTGCAGGCAGCGTCCCATGACTTCCTATACTTGCAGATGTTCGAAAGTGAACTGCCGGCCCAAGCTCACCCCTTTCATTTAGTCCTTCCCACTGTCTGCACGGCTTCCCAGCAGGGTGCCCCACAGATGCCTGGACTCTCACAACCCAGTCCAAACCAATTCCCTGCCTCCATCTACCCTCTGCAAATGTCCCCCACTCATCCTTCGCCTGCCCTCTTTTCACCATCCTGCCTGCACAGGTTCCAGTCCTGAGGGTCTTACCCACCTCCCAGCCTACCACCCTCTCCTGGTTCTCACTGCCCACGCCCTGGTCGATCCTGTCAGGCACTCTGCTCTCACCTGGACTATTCCCGAGGCCTGGTTATCTCATCAAGGTCACCTGGGAAGTCTCCTGAAAGTGCAGATTCTCGGGCCCCAGCCCCAGAGAGTCCGATGTGGTCTGGACTCAGGTAGGCTTCAGGCACTGCCCCCCACGGACCACGCTGTAAGAAACCACATGGCCTAGCTTCTCCTTAGTCTGGTCCATTGTCCACATGACTAATTACTACAGCTATTCCTACCCACTCTTTTCCCAACACTTACATCACAAGACTGTGTTGGACCCTCCATACACACAGGTCCCACTAGACAACCCTTCACTGTAACTACTAGTGTGAGCCCCATGTTAGCTTTGAGAAAACTGAGGCACAGAGAACTAAGTTACCTAGTCTAAGGGCACAGTCTCTCCGACCCAAAGCCAAGTTCTCGGCGGTACATTTTACCACCTCCTTGCTTCCCAGGCTTCCCATTCAGCTGTGCTGTTGACTTCAATTTCCCAAACGCACCTTGCTGTTTTCTGCCTCTGAGCCTTCGCCCATGCTGTTCCTCTCTTTCAAATTGCCATCTGTGTTAGCTTTCTGTGGCTGGATAACAAATTACCACGAAGTCAGCAGCTGGGCACAGTATGGCTGGCTCTTTGCTCGGGTTCCCACAAAGCTAAAGTCCCGGAGTTATAGCTGGGGCTGTGTTCTCCTAGAGCTCGGGGGTTTCTCTTCCAAGCTCATTGGTTGTTGGCAGAATCCAGTTTCTCCCCTTTCTCTGCTGGCTGTCGGCCAGGGGTTGTTCCCAGCCCTAAAAGGCTCCCACGGTCTTTGCCACGTGGCCCCCCTCCTCTCTAGAGCTAGCAGATGAGAATCTCACCTGTCATCAATTCTTTTTTTTTTTAAATATTTTATTTATTTATTCATGAGAGAGACAGAGACAAAGACACAGGGAGAAGTAGGCTCCATGCAGGGAACCCCGTGTGGGACTTGATCCCTGGTCTCCAGGATCACGCCCTGGGCTGAAGGCAGACGCTAAACCACTGGACCACCCGAGCTGCCCCTGATCAATTCTTCACATCTCCTTTGCCAGGACCAGCTTCATCTCTCTTAGAAGCTTCCTGGTTAGGTCAGGGCCACCAAGGATAATTTCCAGGCTTTGGGGTCAGCTGATTTGGGAATCTTCATTGCGTCTGCAAAATCTCTTACAGCTGAACCTAATCAGGGTTTGAATAACTGGAAGAAGGTGAGTGTAGGCGGGGGGCTGGGAACTTTGGGGGGGTCACCACAGACTTCCACCTACCACATCATCTAATATATGCAACTGATGAATCACTGACTTCTACCCCAGGAACTCCTAATACACTGTATGTTAACTATTGAATTTAAATAAAATTGGGGGGAAAAGCTACTTAGCTTGAGGACTACTGCCTTCCTCGATGCCTCCAGGCAGAGTTAAAAGTCCACCTGTTACCCCCCAGAATCCAACATACGCTCTTAACATTTGTCCAGTGTAATATAATATTTCTTTACAGCTCCATTTCCCTCAAGCTAGGCTGTGAGTTTCTCGAGGGCAGGGACCCAGCTTTAACCATCTTTGCATCCCCAGCACCCAGAAGGGCCCCCAGCTCCCTACCTCCCCGCCGCCTGAGGGTGAGGCATGTGCCCAAGCCAGCTCGCCAGACAAGAAGGGCATTTAAACCAGAGCCGCAGATACTGTAGGAAAAGGGCTGTTGATAAGAGCCTGGGAGGCCCCAGGAAACGTCCGCGGTAACCGGTGCTTCCAGAGCTTTTAGCAGAGAGTACAGGAGGGCAGGCAAGGCTCGGATGCCCCAGAGACCCGGCACCACCGCGACGGTGAGGCGGCTGAGCCACTAGGTGTCACTCCCGATTCAATAAAGAGAGACCGGGTCCTTAGAGGGCCCTTCGGGCCTTTCTCGAGAAGGGAGCTGGGGAGTTGGTCCCACCCATTGTTTTCTTCTGGTTCACACTCGAAACCATCCTGTTCTTCAACTCCCCCTGCTGACACAGTCGGGGTCTGAAACAGGACAGCAGATCAGGGGTTCCCAGGATTGGGGCCACCTGACCATCTAATTCAGCCTCCCGACTGTGTAGACGAGCAACCAGCGTGTGTGTGTGTGTGTGTGTGTGTGTGTGTGTGTGTGTGTCGGGCGGGGAGGGAGGCCAGAACTGAGCCCGGCTGCAGCACCCTCGTGGGTGGGGCGCGGGCACCGTCCTGGAGGCGCAGGGGTCCCGGCTTCCCGCCGCGAGGGTGCCCTGGACGGTCCCGGGGCTGTCCCTCGTTGCTCCCCCAAGACCAGCAAGTTCCGGGCGCTCAGGCCCCACGCAGTCCCCTGTCCTACCCCAGATCCAGCCCTGGGGGAGGCTCCACAACCCGGGGAGGGAGGGTGACGTGCTCAAGAGGGGGTCCTGCGGGTCCGGTAAGACCTGCCGTTTCCGACCGGTTCAGGCAACGACGGGATGGAAGTGGGGAGCACCCCAGCTTTCGGGGCCCAAGCGCGATCGGTATCTGCGATTAACCATTAACCGCAGTCCTTCCCCTTGAGCCGGGGGAGCCCGGGAGGGGGGGGCTGTAAGGGCGGGGCCCGAAAAGGGCTCCAGAAGAACTCGACCTCGGCGGCACGTGGAGCCGGGTTTTCTCCCCCCCTTCCCTCTGCATGAAGTTGGGGTTCCCTCGCGGGGTCCTGGACGCCCGGAGGATGCTGCGCCGCGCGGGCCGACGCCTCTCCCTCCACCCCCGGCAGAGGGCGCACGCCCCCCGCCCCCCATGCTCAGCCCCGCGCCCCCCAGCTCAGCCCCGGCCCCCCCGCACCTTCTCCCCCCAGCTCAGCCCCGGCCCCCCGCACCGCCCCCGCGCCCCCGCCCCCCAGCTCGGCCCCGGGCCCTGCCTGGTGCAGGCCCGACCCCCCAGCCCAGGCGCGGGGAGGACCTCCCGGCGGGTTCGCGGGCCTCGGGCCTCGGGGCCTCGGGCCGGGCCTTCGCCCGCCCCGCGCCGCGGGCTCCCTGCTGACTCATTCCCTCTTCCATCTTTATTTTAGGTGAATCCTGAGAACCAGTCGCATTTCCTGGAGCGCCGGGCCGGGAGGTTGGGCGGCGGGCTGGGGACCGGGCTGAGGTCGCGGCCTCGGATCCAGGCTCCTCCCGGGCTCCCCCTCAGGGAGGGATCTTATCAGCAACAAGGATTTCCTTTAAAACTTGCCATGGGGGTTCCCCAGCACGGCCCGAGCCGCCCCAGGGGCTCATCTCTCTCCCCTTTGTTCTTCGGCGGGGGTTTTAGCGAGCGGCTCCGGGCTCCGGGCTCGGGCTCGGGCGAGCAGCAGGCGCGGTTGGGGGCTGCGCGGAGCCAGGGCTCCAGCGGAGGAGACCTACTGAACCAAGAAGTGCCCGGAACACGAATTCCTGGTGAATGGGGTGTTCGCCCCGAAGCCGCAGCAGGGGCTGCTGGGAGAGGGCGCCAGCCCGCAGTGAGCAGAAGTCTTCACCTGAATCTTGGCCACAGCTTTCCTCCAGGTTCACCCGGTTGCTCTCTTCCCTCCTCTGACTGCTGTAAACGGATGCAAATCAGGGTCCCCCGGGGCAGATGAGTCAGGGTTTGCGAGGCTGGTTATCCCCAGATGAGGTACCCCGGGTCAGAGTCTTCCTGGAGCCTCCTCCCTACTCCTTGCAAGTCCTGGGACGAATGCCCTGGGAAGGCAGTAACTGTGCGGCTTGATGAAACTCACACTGCGAATTTCTCCTGCGACCTAAGGATTCACAAGGTCTGAAAACACGAAGACAGTTCTGGTCCTGCCTCCTCCTCCTGCAGTGTTTACTGAACACCTCCTAGGTATAGGGCTGTGTGTTCAGTGCCAAGGATCCAGAAATTCACTAGAGACAAAAGGAGGAATGTGGGAAAAGCTGAGGTGGGGTACAGAATAATGGCTCCCAGAGTTTGGGATTTTATGAACAGCTAAAAAGGAGATCTATTAGTTAAAAGAGGTCTAATATAACAATGTCTAAAAGAAGATTAATTTAAAAAAAAAAAAAGTTTATCTCTACCATGAAAGGTAGGTGCTGGAGGTAGGTGCTCCTGGGTTGACAGTGAAGCCGGAGAGCAAGGTTCCAGTCTCACAGAGTCAAAGAATGAATCTCTCGTGGACAAAGAAGAGTGAGTAAAATAGCAGGTTATTAAGCGAGGATTCTGAGAAAGCTCTCAGGAGTGAGAGGGGTCCCCACAGGGCTGCCACTGGGGGCTTGTACGGTGGGTCTTTTATTGAAAACTAACCAGGGAATCTAAATCCTCATAACATCTTTATTGATAGCACCACTGAGTAAGGCCTGGAGATAACATCTTTAATGGCCCATTTCCCTTTTTGGGTCCAGTATTTCTCTGGTTATAACCAGACCCCACCTCTGACACCTGGGACAAGATGGTCTGGTTTGTTTATCTCTGATTTCCTTTCATCTCCACATTTTTGGGATTTTTGTGAGCTTGATTCCATGGCCCCCTACCTAACCCTCCCTCCCCAGCCCTGCCTGTCCCTTACTCAACAGGGATGCTCTGCTCCAAGAAGCCTTCAGGGACCCAAACTCCTTCTGTCTTGT